TTGGTGCGACACTTACGGAGGAATTCTTGGAATGAGGAAATTTCTAAGGAAATAATTAATACGTTTTAAAATTGTGGTTTCCTTTTAATCAAAAAAATCTGCTCTGCAGACATTAAGCAAACCTATTCTCCAAAGCAGTAGGCTTTAAAAAATATCCCTTGGCTGAAATATTCTTCAACTTGATTGACCCAGACAATGGTAAGGGGAAGTTCACTTCTCAGAAGAGATGGGGCCATTGCATGTGTGTTTTAACCAGGACTTGTTTGTTTTCTCTATTTCTTTAGGAGTTCCTTCCTCTTTTTGTCTTGGGGGGAGTCTCCCTCTAATTTTGCCTTTGTCTTTTCATAGATGGAGGCCTTTAAGGGGCGTGGTGAAGGCCAGCAGTCACTGGTAGATCTGGGCTGGGAAGCGGCAGTAATGTGATTTGTGTGTTATTTGGGAGCGTGTATTAAGATGGGGCCTAATTAAATTGAACTCCTTAATACGTGCATTAAAAAAATGTTTGAGGGGTGCCTGGGTGGCTCAGTCGGTTGAGTGGCTGACTTCGGCTCAGGTCATGAGCTCACGGTTTGTGGGTTCAAGCCCTGCATAGGGCTCTGGGATGACACCTCAGAGCCTGGAGCCTGCTTCGGATTCTGTCTCTCTCCCTCTCTCTCTCCGCCCCTCCCCTGCTCACACTCTCTCAAAAATAAACAAACATTTAAAAAAAAAAAATGTTTGAAGTCCCATGATTTTCCTATAGGTATGATAGATGACTTCATGCCTTTGTGAGCAGTGTGTAAACACATTGAACAGTGATTAATGTGCACATGGCTGGTGGGAATGTAAATGGACAGAGCCAGTTGGGGGTAGGTTGGCAGTAGATGGTTCCACCTGGCTGAAGAGAGGGAGATTGCAAGGACTTGAGGCAATAAAGATATATTGGGATAACTGGGGTGCCTGTCTGGCTCCATCAGTAGAGCATCTGGCTCTCGATTTCAGGGTTGTGAGTTCAAGCCCCATGCTGGGTGTGAAGCTTACTTAAAAAAAGTTACATATATATTATATATATATATATATATATATATA